TCAACATTTTCTGGGAGAGGACCCCAGAACCCACTGGCCCAGTCACTATTTGCGTTCTGCCAATTGTTTAACAAAATAAGCCCTGTTACTTGGTATGACTACTGCTGTTATGATTCAGTTCAGTTTTATGTAAAAAAAAATAAATCTGTAATAATTTGAAGAAGTGGCGATACATTTATTATGTTTATTCAGTGAAGACGTAAAGTTTTAAAGTTGTTTTATTCTTTGTATATTTCAGCGTTGATTTTTATTGTACAGCACTTTGTGATTTTATGTCTGTGATAAGCGCTTTATAAATAAACTTTACTTACTTACTTACTTTCTTACTTACTTGATACTCCAAAGTTCATGCTTAATAATCCAGGTCAAAATCCACCAATGTTCAGTTAGGTCATTTGGATGGTTTCTATTATTTTAATTAATTTATTTTTTTGCTGAGATGTTTCATCCTTCATCCAAAGGACTTATTCAATCCGAGGAGCCACCAATCAAACTGATTCCCACAAACAGCATACTCCATAGTGGAAAAACACAGTTGCTGTTTGTGGGAATCAGTTTGTTTGGTGGCTCCTTAGATTGACGAAGTCCTTTGGATGAAGGGCGAAACGTCTCAGCAAAAAAATAAAAAAATAAAAAATGAAACCATCCAGTTTACCTGACTGAACATTGTTGTTTTTGATACTGTTAATTTTCTCAAAACTGTCATTTTTGGAAGTTGAAATAAAAATTTTGTTAATTAAGCGCATCTTAAATGAAAAAATACCCCATGTTTAAAAGTATAAAAATTGTATTAACACTATTAAAGAACATGTCTTAAGTATTTATGTTACACAAACTTTTCCATTGCATTAAAGAGACAAATTGAAGAAAATTATTTAAAAAACTTGAGTGTTATGAGGGGGTCCCTGAAACTTTTTCTCCCCTGTAAGGGGCCCCTGAACCCCAAAAGTCTGAGAACCCCTGATCTAGAGGACCTGACTCAACCTTGGATTTATCTACCTGGATTAGAGAGCATTCATAAAAATAAAAAAAGTGTTTCTTTCTATTGGGCAGCACGGTGGCGCAACTGGTAGAGCTGCTGCCTCTCAGCGAGCAGGTCCCTGGTTCAAACCCCAGTCCAGGGGCCTTTCTGGGTGGAGTTTGCATGTTCTCTCCGTGCATGCGTGGGTTTTCTCCAGGTGCTCCGGTTTCCTCCCACAGTCCAAAAACATGCATGTTAGGCTGATTGGTAACTCTAAATTGTCCCTAGGTGTGTGTGAGAGAGTGAATGGTTGTTTGTCTCGTTTGTCTCTATGTGTCCCTGTGATGGACTTGCGACCTGTCCAGGGTGTACCCCGCCCCTCGCACAGTGATTGCTGGACATGGGCACCAGCGACCCCCGTGACCCAAAATGGAATAAGCGGGTAAAGAAAATGGATGGTTTCTTTCTATTCACTGACAGACATATACTTTGTACTCTGACCTCACAGTGTGTGTTGTTGCATCTTTACTGTCACTTTTTCCAAGACAAGGTGACCTAAATCGCCCAGAACCAAATGCATTCGTGGAAAAAGAAACACTTACTCACACAACGCAGCTGCTGTCAAGAAATATTCTCTTTGTTTTATGGTGACAAGTTTGTCCTGACCCAGTCTAGTTGTTTGTGATTGTCCCTTTCAGTCAAAACAAAGGCAACCACACAGCATCAGAGACATCCTGACAATACGCTGATCCTGAAACAAAGTGTCATCTCTGATGGATAAGTTGCTTTTACTTTGACGTTAAAGGGCTCTGACTCCCCACTGCGCTGCAGTAACAGCTCCTTTAGCCAAAAGTACACCTCTCTTCGTCATCCTCCTTAAAATTAGCTCCCTTTGCACTCAGTAATGAGGCTTTCGTCTTGACTTCATTGTAAAGGATGTTGATAATGTGGCATTGCAACAAAACAAGTTTAAAATATTGTGCAAGTAACTTGTTTTTCAGCAATTTATACTTACAAAATCTGCCTGAATACAAAACCTTTTTGACAAAAAATACTCTAGCTGATTTTACAAGATATCAGATAGAATAAATAAATACTGTTGGAATTATTAAATTATAAAAAATAAGGATTAACGAATGAGGGCAAAAACAGAAGACTATGCAGATGTGCAGAAACTCTTGATACAAGCTGTAAACTTCTTCTGAATCTTTTACCACCATTTTCTCGAGTTTGTCGATTGACTGTGCACAACCATCCTGTAATATAATAAAATAAGCCAACAAAGTTCAGTCAGGTCATCTGGGCGTTTTTTTTTCTTTTAGTTTAAATATTTCATCCTTCATCCAAAGGACTTCGTCAGTCCGAGGAGCGACAACAAACTCAGTGCCATAAGCAACACACTCACATAATGGACCAACCAGTTAGTTGGTGATAAGATGGTTTCTGATGCCCGCCCTCTCCCCCGTCGACTCCTCTGAGGCAGCCATAGCCAAAGTGGTTCAAAACATCAAAGTTCATGCTTAACAATTTAGGTAAAAAATTCAACAAACTTGAGTCAGGTCATCTGGACAGTTTATTTTTTGATTAAATGTTTCGTCTTTCATCCAAAGGACTTCATCAGTATGAGTAGCAACAACAAACTCAATCTCACAAGCAGCACACCCACTTTTTACTTGGATTATTGAGCATGAACTTTGATGTTTTGAACCACTTTGGCTATGGCTGCCTCAGAGGAGTCAACAGGGAAGAGGGCAAGCTCCAGAAATCATCTTATCACCAGCAAACTGGTTGGTCCACTATGTGAGTGTGCTGCTTGTGGGACTGAGTTTGTTGTGACTCGTACGACTGATGAAGTCCTTTGGATTAAGGACAAAACGTCAAAAGAAGAAACCTTCCAGATGACCTGGCTCAACTTTGTTGGATTTTTTTAACCTGGATTATTGAGCATGAACTTCAAATAACACCAGATATTCCACTGTGCATGTACACAGAAAATTGTAACAGTGCCGTGACTCCAACCAGCTTTTAGTTTGGCTCTTTTTCTCTGAGAAATCTAAAATTTAGAACCCATTCATTTGTGAACCCAGTGTTAAGCAGTGGTCAGTATTATTCAGCATGAGGCATTCTGGGAGATTCATTTTACACCATATTGAGAAATCTTAAAAAAGATCAAATGTCTATGTGGCTGCCAGAAGTGGAAATGCAATGTGAATACAGTATCAAGATAGTTTATTTTTATGAGTTCAACAGCTTTTGTTGTTCAAAGTAAAGACTTGTGAACAACTTTCAGTTTTATAAAGTTCATGCTCAATAATCCAGGTACAAATCCAACAATATTCAGTCAGGTCCTCTGGATGGTTTCTTCGTTTGCTGAGACGTTTTGTCCTTCATCCAAAGGACTTCATCAGTCTGAGGAGCCACAAACAAACTGATTCCCACAAGCATCAAACTCCCATAGTGGGGGGAAAAAAAAACAGTTGCTATTGATAAGATGGTTTCTGGGGCCCCGCCTCTCCCCCGTCAACTCCTCTGAGGCAGCCATACCAAAGTGGTTCAAAACATCAAAGTTCATGCTCAATAATCCAGGTACAAATGATGATGATGAAGTCCTTTGGATAAAGAATGAAAATGTTCCAGCAAAAAATGAAACCGTCCAGATGACCTGACTGAGCATTGCTGGCTCTCTACTAATAGTTTGAAGTTATTGTCTGTTTAACAATGTTTCTTCGATGTTCTGCCAGAAATATGAGTAGCAAAACGATTAGATATGAATTGCTACTCTAACTATTGTGTTAACTGCAACCTCTCACTGCATGTAGCTCTTGGTTCCATGGCAATGACATGACCTAAAGGTTATTTGCACGTGCATGAGTATATAAACCTAAAATTTTGTACAAACCCATGTACACTCATGTTTATGAACCTTTTAAATGAGGATGTTCATTTCCATCTTGCTTTTGTTTTCCTTCACATTTGTCCTCTACTGCCCTCTGCAGCAATTTATGACTAAGCTGTTTGGCTTAAAGGCCCTTTCTGATCTAATGCGAGCTGACCGAACAGGAAGAAACATGTTCAGATGAATATCCAGAGGCATGCTTTACCTACCACAGTCTGGAAGCATGAGTGGAGTTGTGTGAGAAAAGGTGGCTTGTCCTGTTGGGCCAGGACTCTCTTCTCCACCATTGTGCATTCGACATCATCGTCCTGGATCACCACATCCTTCTTCAGGATTTTAATTGCGTAAAGCTCTTCTGTACCTTTCATCTCAGCAAGCATGACCTTTGTAAAAAAACAGAGAATAGAGAAGTAGGAGGAATGTTGGATAACTATAGTTTTAATATATTTTTAACCATTTACTGCTTTCAAACCTTGCCAAAGCTGCCTTTTCCCAGCACAGCCAGAAAGCTGAAGTCACTGAGTTTGACCTGATCCAAGCTGTTGGACGGGAGGTTACTGGAGCGGCCGTTGTCCGTCTCTGTAATCACCTTCTTACCTGGGCCGAGCTTGGCTTTCTGCACTCAAGAAACAAAAGACAAAATGTCTAAACAATAAAACAAAGTCCATATTTCAGAATAAACCAACTGCAGGGTTTGAAAAAGCTTGTTTATGACTGATTTGTTTCTTTAAGGTGACAAAACAGCTACTTTTTATAGTCGCATCCATAAATATGTTTAAACTCAACCCTAAAGTGGATTATCTGACAATTCAGACACTTTTATATGTGCTTACTAACACAAACCTCTTATTTTGTCATTCCCAGCCACAATACATGCACATAACGAAATGATTGAAATGAATTAACACCATTGTGGAACTGATTAAGCTAATAAATTATCATAGATTATAATAACCATCCAGTCTTATTCAAGTGTTAAATTAACAAACAATAAATAAAACAATGATTCTTGAACGCAGAAAGATGCAGCTCTGCAAAAAAAAATAAAAAAGTTGATAAAATTAAATAAAATATAAAGGACTAAAATTGAGACATACTAGACATATGATCAAATTTAAAAACAAACAGTAATGTGATGATTTTAAACATGACTGATAAGTTAACTGTGTAATTATTCATTGCATAAAAAGTTTTATTTGTTGTTGTTTTTGTCACGGGACAGAAATTATGTACACTACACATTTTTATTAGAGCGAAAAAGGTTAATGTATGTACAGTAGTCCCTCGCTACTACGCGGTTCGACTTCTGCAGACTTCCTCCGTCACGGTTTCTGGACGTACAGTTCATAACATACGTATTGGACAAAAAAAAAACTATACAAGATACACGATTGTCAATTGTACAATAATGTCACTGAACTCACGTTGTTGTAAAAAAAGTTAATGACAAAAAAATAATAATTTGGACAGGCGCTGCCATTTTGTAGTTTTCTCTCATTCAGTCTCCACTCTACTGTAATCGCCTCTCAGACGGACTACATTGCCCTTAAGTCAGCTCTGTAGTGCCGCTGACAGTATTTTTGCAAAGTGAAGTCATGACCGCTGAACCGGCCTTTCATATGTAAAATTGAATTCATGTCACATGGAAAATATATATTTTTAAGAAAATTCAACTTTACAAACGTAAGATTCGCAAGAAAGTGTAACTCGTGAGGATTTGTCTCTTTAAGAAACAGAGCGTTGTGCTTAGTAACCCGGCTGCCAGAGGTGGAAAGAGTACTAAAAATTTGTAATCAACTACAAGTACTGTTACACTGCTTAAATTGTACTCGATTACAAGTAGAAGTACTGGTGTTGTAAAAATACTTAAGTCAAAATACAAAGTACTCTTCTCAAAAACTACTCCGCATATTAATTACTTTTTAACCACTTGATGTTTTATTGTGTTGTCAATAGAAGACATTCAGTTTGATTTACTGTAAATAACAGCTACACTAAAGCTCAGACGCTCTGTCTTATTTTAGTACCAGGCAAACCGATGGCAGTGACAATATCTAAGATCTTTGTGTACTTAGCCAAACTAATAACCCACACATACAATCAATAAAAAAACAATATCATACTGTTGTAAAACCTCGTATACCACATGTTTTTTGAGATTAGATGCTGAAGTCTTGTAAGCTGCTGCACCGTAGAGATCAAACGAAGTTTGCATCTGGACACTGTCTCCTTTTCACCCTCTGCACATGAAAAATTCCTCCAGGTACAGCCACGGGCACTCGTCCTCAGCCGTTACCTCCTCATTTTCTCTGTTCATGTGTTGTCCTCTCCATTTTGGCTTGTTCTCCAAATCTTAGGTCCATAAATGACTCTCTGCTCCACGGAGTTGTTCTTTGCTTACGTCATAGGTAATCGGCGCGTTCGCGATCTGAGAGCCTTATTGGCTACAAAGATGCAGATGAACGGTTTGATTAATTCAAATTGCGGCCGTACTCAGTAGCGACTTCTGATTTTAAAAGTAGTGAAGTAGATTACATGGTCTAAATTGTACTTAAGTATGAGTAAAATTACACACTTGAGAGAAATACACATAAAAGTACAAGTACCCAAAAAATCGACTTAATTACAGTAAAGCGAATATTTGTAATTCGTTACTTCCACCCCTGCCGGTCACTGATTGGCTGTTACCGTCTGTTCATGTTCACTCTTTTTTAACTAAACTTCAAGCGTTACTATTGCGTTATGGTTTCTAAATGTTCTGTGCGTTCAAAAGTTTCTGGCGGCAAACCGAAATGCCAGAAATGCTTTGTAACCAAAATGCTTCGTAACCCGGGCGCCGAGTGGCTCAGTAAACATCTGTGTACCTGCAATGTTTTTCAACTGGACTTAACTGGACTTCTTGTTGCTCCTAAACATGTTCTGTGAGTTCAAAAGTTTATGGCGGCGAACCGAGGCGCCAGCGGAAGATGCTGACGATTAAAGAAAAAGTGGAACTTCGGGACAAACTACACTGTACCTATGCGGATGTTGCCGGCCGCCTTTACGGCACGATTGTTAAAATGGAAGTTGCAATGGTCGTGTGAATTAATGATTGCAGAAAAAAAAAACATTACTTTGGATACCAACACCATCTGGACAAAGGTGAAACAACTTTATGATCGTCTTGGAGCTGCAGACATGACGATGCAAATGAGGAGTGGGGGGTAACGAACCCGAAGCTGGACCTTCGACCACCTGGTTCAACCACCGAACCACTGCATTTAGTGCCAGCAAGGGACGGTTCGTCAAATTTCAAAAGCAGTTCGGATTAAACAGTGTTTCTGTGCACGGAGAGGCTGCGTCGGAGCGGAGGAGTTTGTTAAAATGAGTTCAAAGATCTGATCACCGGGGGTCTACGGGTCTGAACAAGATCTTAATGTGGATGAAACGGGCCTGTTCTGGAAAAGGATGCCATCTCGCACTTTTATTATGAAGGACGAAGCCAACACCTCAGGTTTTATCTCATCTTCATCACCTTCGTTGTCATCACTGGACAGCTAATTCATCGCCATCTTTTCTTCATCTTCTCTGGCGCGTAGAACCCATTTAAACTTACTATTTTTAAAAAAGTTTTATGAGTATAGAAAATTGTTAGGAACATTGTAAGACTGTGGGAAGGGT